TCCTTTCAGCTGAGGGTGACCCCTCACTTGGGATAGGTTAAGCACAGTTCTGCTCCCCTTTATTCATACAATAATAAAAACAACATTAGTAACAGCATTTCACTATCCCTGCATTCAGTACTAAAGTGATTTGTAATCCAACAGCAGCCAAAGTTGATTATTTTGAGCAACACCGCTCTACCTGATGGATATCTGAGCAGAGTAGATGTGCTCATCTAAATACAGTTTGCTCCTGAAGTCGCTCCCCCTCCCAGCTAGTTGTCAGGGGAGAATTCATTCAGAATCTGCTTACAGTTGTTAGCTTAGTAGTTAGAGTCCCAGCCAGGAGTTCACCCTGGAGTGGGGCATGTCCCATTCCATGACCTTCAAATCATGTTCATCATGCAACAGGCCGATAGCTATTAGTGAGCTCCATGACAGTTGTTTGAAGTGTTTGGGGAAGCCCCATATAAAGGACAAGTGTAGGATTTGTAAGAACTTTCACCCTAGAACCCAGAAGGAGTGGGATATCCGCTTTTGGGCCCTCCTCATGAATGCTGTGCTTCATCTGGCATCGGAGCCCTCCCGTTCGGACTCCACTCCTAGCCACCTCAGCATCGGTGTGGAGTGCACCACCAGCACCGGGCCCCGTCTGGCACCATTCCCCCTTACCGGTGCCTAAGAAGCAGCAGAAAAAGAAGGGCTCCCTGGCACCAACTAAGGAGGGGAACGGGGCTTCAGGCAAAGGACCTATGTCAGGCCACATATCCGCCCCGTAGCTCCAAGGGGGTACTGCTGGGTTTGGACCCCCCAGCCAAGGATCCGACTCCGATTCCTGGGAGCGGCAGGGGACTCTGGCTCCTCCTAGGGTCTTTGTTGCCCAAAGCGGCCCAGGCAGCTAAAGATCTAGTGGGCCAGCTGACACCGCAGATGAGCCAGGCACTGGACTCAGCTAAGGTCCTACTGTCTAAGGGCAAGCCAATCATGGGACCGCCCCAAAGGGCAGTGGGGTGCCCTCGGTCCCCGGACTGCAGGGGTAGGTCCCCATCACCACAGCCTAGGACCCCGGCCCCGCAACCCCAGTCTCCGGCCAGAAGACCCAGGTCCCTGTGCTGTGTTCTCCTTCTACGAGGCATGGAACTCTGAAGTCAAGGCACCGGTCCCCGTTCTCGCGGTACCAGCGAACCTCCCACCAGAGATCGCCACGGCGCAGTTCACTATCGCCTAGACGATCTCCCAGGTGTCAGTCCCCACCCGTGTGTGGGACTGCTCCTCATTGCAGCACTGGTCCTCACCGCCCCAGTACCACTCATCAGACAGGAATTGATCCTCGCCCTCTACACACTGGTCTCCGACAAGGGTCAGTCAGCAGACACAGGCTTCCACAGCTCTGCCCTGGTCACTGGAGGGGGAATGGTTCAGTTTGGAGCAGGATTTCAGCTTCTTGCCAAGAAAGTGTGAGTCGCTGCCCACCCACAAGACCGGTGCAACATCTGCGGCAGCAGCATGGCAGCAAGGACAGCGGCCTGCTCAATGGCCTTATTGGAATCCTTGGGGTGTGCTGATGATGCCGGTCCCGTACTCCTACCACTCCTCCCTGGCTTCCTCGGACAAACCACCCATGGCACCGCGGACACCAGGGTTGGACCACGGTGCGGAATCCGACACTGGGGAAGCACAGCAGGCTCCAATGCCAAAGGAGCCGTCCCCAGAAAGTGAAGAGGAACCCGCCCCCTCCCTGTGGTGCAATCATCGTCTTCGTTGCCAGACATAGCGGTGGCGGGCCCCTCCCAGACTGGCAGTCCCTCCAATGACTTCAAGGAGCTCCAGGCCCTCCTTAAAAGGGTGGCTACCAATTTAAATCTGGAAATTGAAGAGTTGGCAGATCAATCGGATGACCTTTTCAGTGTCATATCCTCCATCAGCCCAGCCTGGATTGCAGGTTATGCCAGGAGATGCAGGCCACTCTGCAGGACCTACTGTTTGAGGGAACTGGGCTCTCCTCTGAGCTCATGGACGCACGGCTGCATGGCCTGACAGACTCCCATGCCACCTTCCACTCTCTGGGCCTTCATACTCCTCACAGGCCAGGAAGCCCTTCTGTCCTCTGCCTCCTCCATCAGAGCAACCTACTTGGCCAAATGGAAGTGCTTCACATGTTGGACCTCGGATAAAGGCATTCGGTCTGAGTGGGCCTCACTGCAGTTGATCCTAGACTATCTTCTGCATCTCAAGCTCCAAGGCTTGTCCCTTTCATCTGTAAGGTCCACTTGGCTGCTATTTCGGCCTTCCATCCTCTGTTCCAGGGCAAGTCGGTTTTCACTCAGGACATGACGTTCAGGTTCCTCAAAGGCCTGGAACTTCTCTACCCCCATGTCTGGGATTCCGTTCCTCCAAAGGGATCTGAATTTAGTGCTGTCGTGACTCACGGTCCACCCCTTCGAGCCTCTGGCTTCCTGCTCGCCCTCTTCCTCCTTTCCTGGAAGGTCATGTTCTTACTTGCAATAACATCTGACCGCAGGGTCTCGGAGATTATGGTGCTTACCTCAGAATCACCATGTTTGGTCTTCTACAAGGACAAGGTCCAGCTGCGGATGCACCCGGAATTCCTGCCCGAGGTGGTTTCACAGTTTCATATGGGCCAGGACATATACTTACCTGTCTTTTTTCCCCAAACTGTGTAAGTTGGAGGAGGAGCACAGGTTGCATTCCCTAAATGTTAGGAGGGTGCTAGCCTTCTACATTGAAAGGACCAAGCCATTCCGCCAGTCGATGCAGTTGTTCGTCGCAGGGGCCGACAAGATGAAAGGTCGCCCAGTGTCGGCTCAGAGAATTTCATCTTGGATCACTGCCTGTATTCACTGCTGCTATGATCAGGCAAAGGTGTCCCCTCCGACGATTTTAACTGCCCATTCAATCAGGGCACAAGCCTCTTCGGCGGCTTACCGAGCCCAAGTGCTGATCCAGGATATCTGTAGGGCCAGCACCTGGTTGTCCGTCCACATGTTCACATCCCATTACGCACTTACCAAGCAGACCCAGGATGATTCTGGCTTCTGGAGAGCAGTGCTACAAGCCACTTGATTGTGAACTCCTAGCCCACCTCCAAGGATACTGCTTGTGAATCACCTAGAATGGAATTGACATGAGCAAGCACTCGAAGAAGAAAAAACAGTTACCTACCTTTTTGTAACTGTTGTTCTTCGAGATGTGTTGCTCATGTCCATTCCATTACTCACCCTCCTGCCCCTCTGTTGGAGTTGTCGGCAAGAAGAGACTGAGAGGACATAGGGCCGGCGGCATCTAATATACTGGCACATGGGTACAGTACACAAGAAGGCGCTACAGCCGACACTACGGATACCGCTAAGGCAAAAATCTCCGACTGTGCACGTGGGCGCGCACACACCTAGAATGAAATGGACATGAGCAACATATCTGAAGAAGTGGGTTTTCTACCCACGAAAGCTTATGCCCAAATAAATCTGTTAGTCTTTAAGGTGCCACCGGACTCCTTGTTTTTTTTTAACAATTACGAAAAGGTAGGTAACGGTTTTTTCCCAATCCTGACATTAGCACACTATCTGATTGGTCCATACTTATAGGCCAATCACAACTGCTAAATCTAACTGTCAGTCAGAGCTGTTACACAAGTTTTAGTGCTATGGGCTGTTTATTATTATGGTATGGTGACTCTCACCTAGTTTTGGACTGAACATGCCTGACTAATCGCTCCCTGTAGTGCTGGAGTGACCTTTACCTGACCTCATCCTACACTTGTCTGCCTGCCAACATAGGCTGATCTTAAAATGCCATCTCATTCTGCTTGACTGCGCCAACACTTTACACATACCAAATTACCAAACTATTAAACTGTAAACAATTACCTCATCCTTTTTAATATGTTTCCAAATGTTAACTTATGCATCTTAACATTAAGGTCTACTATTGCCACCTTATTTCTTACCCATTTAGTTAATTTTATTTCAGTTCTTCCCCTATTTTCAGTTAATGGTGGCAAAGGCATGTTTTCAGTGCCGTGTTTAGGAAACAGAATAGAGCAGCTCAAAATCTTTCATATCAATTTGAGCCCTGATCCAGCAAGCACTTAAGGTGTGCTTATCTTTAAGCACACTGTCTTCAGTGGGATTACTCATGTTCTTTAAAATTAAGCACATATTTAAACAGTTTGCTGGATTGAGATCTTAATCTTTATGAAATGTAGTAATCTACTAAACCAAAGTTTCTTAAACGTTGTAGTTCTTCATACCACTTCCACAGAGAAACAGCTATACACAAACTCATCTTTCCCTGATGTTTGATTCCCTCAACATTACATTCAGTGGATCTAGGAAGGGCTGTACAGATCACTGGAAATCACATTTTGAGATTCACTTTCCAAATCTGTTTCTTTACCAAAAAGTCAAATATATCTTCCAGGCTATTATTATATTATTGTTTTGTCAAAGACGAGGATCGCCATGAAAATATTCATCGGATTTGGGAGTGCCTATGGGTCTCCTGAAAATGCTACAAGAATACAAATGATTTCTTAACTTACTGGTGAGTAAGGATTTGTCTACACAGTGTTTTAGTCATCATCAGCTGGTGGTAAATTCTAATGAGCGCCAGCATATTGTGCACTAACTGGCTCATGTGAACCCAGCTGGCGCACACCAAAAATTCCCTAGTGTATATTAATGTAGTACTGTTTGAAATGGTACTAATTTAACATGCACTTGGGAATTTTTAGTGCATGCCAGCAGGGGCCACCCAGGCCAGTTAGTGCACAACATGCTGGTGCACATTAGAATTTACATGCCAGCTGGTGTGAACCAAGGCGCTGTGTAGACAAGCCCTCAGTCTCTGTTTGAAGTTTAAATTATTTATATTTTGGAGCTGGCTTGTGTTGTGTCAGTTGATATTATAGCTAATATGTTTGTAACATGAGTAGCAGAATGAGAAGCAGTGTACTGTAATTGCAAGTGAAAATGTAAATCAAGAAATATATTTTCTTACAGACAAATGGACTGCAGCATCCTATAATTCACCAGCGTGGAGAAAAAGAAGCCCACATACAAAAGCATACTCTAAATCTGAAAAAATCCATTCAGGTACCTATTTGACAGCATTACTTTCAGTGCACTGTAATATATTAAAGATGACATATCTGTTTTAATTCTCTCTCCAGCTAGAATCTGGAAGAAGCTTCTACTTAGGCACCTATCTTAAGACTGCTGGTTTCTAAGAGGTGCTGAAAAATCTGAGATAGTTGTCTGCCCTTTTGTTTTGAGACCACCTCCTTTTACCCAATATCTCATGCTTTCCCACTTTTGGCAAGATACGTGACTTCCTCTAAAGTCAGGAGTTACTATGCTGTTGTTACTGTATGGAGTAGCTATTGGCTTGCAGTGCTGGACAAAGTAATATGGTTATGCAATCCACATTAGTACAGTGTGGAGCTTTGTCCCCCTTTAGTGGTTTGTCCAAAGAAGACCTTAATGAGAATGCAACAGCTGCAAGCTAGGGGACTAAGTCCTGTAGCTCAAACAGTAGAGCTGATGCACTGAATGCAGGATGTCTCGGTTCCCTCTGACAATCCATGGCGGGTTGTCATCACAATTGGCACCCTTCCTCACCCTCCCTTTGCTTTCTAAGACTTCTGTTCACCAAGGTATTTAAGCACGTACCTAACTGAAACCACGTTAGTAGTGGGCTACTTAGACTTAAAGTTAGGCATATGCTCAAGTACCTTGCTGAACTGAAACCTAAGTCCATACATCTTCACTTCAGTGTCTGTATCAGACCCGAAGCCCTTCCCAATCCATATGTGGCAATACAGCGGTGGAGCTTGTGGAATCTCTGTGGTCCTCCCATGGTCCCCAGCTATGGAAATTGCTAGGTGATGCAAGGCAGGTTCTTCTTCCTCTGTGGCATACAGTCTTATATCGTCCTCAAGATTGCTAGTTTCAGAAGATATCTTTTAAATAGTCTGCGAACACCCACAGACCTGGTGAACTGAATTGCTCTTAAATGCTGGAAATGATGTCCCTGAGTGAATCAGTGTTTCCACTGTTGGATCAGGCTTCAGTGGTGGTCTGACTGTAGTTACTAAATAAGCTCTGCCATTCAGGTTTTCCCATTTACAAAGCTGCCCACATTTTCCCAAACGTTATCGCATAAATTCTATATGTGGTATGCATTTTTAATGCACACACACACGCATTCACACAGTGCTTAAAGATCTATTTGTGAAGATGTTGGAGAAAAAAAATCTGTGTGGCATTTTAAAAATGCGTCAGTTATATTGAGTGAATATTTTCTCTTTATTGTAATTGTTATAAGTGCTAAATGCTCAAATACTGAATAAGTCTTTAAACGGACATGGACATTTATAACAATAAATTATACAAAAATATGCTGTGTATTTTGACTACAGATCCAAAAAGAAATGGAAGCAAGTAAAAAAGAGAAAGAAAGAGACTTCGAGAAAATAAAGAAGTGAAGCACAATCCATCATACAATTTACAATAAAAAATGATAAAAATGCAAATTCAAGGAATGAGATTATCACATGCTTCACACTGGAGATCCAAAGATGATAAAATGCAAATTCTAAAAATAAGATGCAGGAAGTGTACACTGTATGGTTTCAAAACTGATAAAAATGCAAATTAAAAAAACCTACATACTGCTTGTGTATTTATGAGGTCTGCAGTCTATTCAGTATATTGTTGAAGTTTAACCTAGTTTGAAAGTTGGACTATTCAAATAATTTTTAACTGTGATCCTGGCTGTAAAGTACAGACTGATGCTAAACCAGATCTTTGAATGCAGCCTCCTTCCATTTTGTTTGCCCAAATGCTGTAGGGCATAATTAATAATGAGAATGGGGATATGGCTAGCTGGATTTAGTGCAGCAGAGCAGCATTTCAGAGGGATTTCAATGGAAATATCATCTCACTCTGAGCAGAGAGGGTCTTGATCTGAAAGATAGGGTCTGTGAACAGCTTCAAACTAGGGGACTTAGGGTGGGATCCACAAAGGTACTTAAGTACCTAAACCCCAGGCCTCTAAGTTTTGGGTTTAGGTACCTAATTCCCAGTTTTGGCTCCACTGTGATCCATATATCTCTGAAATGCTCTTACTCTATTATTTACATGAATGAGTTTTGGATCAGGCCCTTAATGCCTTTTGCATTCCAAAATCTATTTTATTTTTACTAAGACCTGGTATGCACCTAAAAGTTTGTTCAATCTATCTACATTATTCAGGGTTCTGAAAATATTTCATACCCAGTGCTACATAGTTAGGTCATCCTAACTCCTATTGTAGACGCAGCTGGCTCGATGGACAAATTCTTCCATTGACCTAGCTACTGCCTCTTGGAAAGGAGGTTTTACTACAGCGATGGGAAAACCCCTTCTGTCTCTGTAGTAAGTGTCCACACTACAGCGCTAGAGCAACAGTGCTGCTGTAGCACTTGTAGTATAGACATAGCCTAACTGAGAACTAGGGTTTTTAAAATGTTATCAACTATCAGGGCCGGCTCTAGCATTTTTGCCGCCCCAAGCACCCAAAAAAAAAAAAAAAAAGCCACTATCGCGATCGACGGCAGCTCTATCGCCGCTTCATTCTACGGCAGCAAGTCCTTCGCTCCGAGAGGGAGTGACGGCCCGCCGCCGAACGGCTGAACGTGCCGCTCCCCTCTTCACTGGCTGCCCCAGGCACCTGCTGGCTACGCTGGTGCCTGGAGCCGGCCCTGTCAACTATTAAACTCTATCTGTAATGACTTGGGGCTAGTCTACTCTAGAATTGCTATGGCGGCTCAGCTGTACCGATGTAGCTGCACCACTTTAGTGCTGCTAGTGCAGACATTCTATACTGATGGGAGAGAGCCCTCCCGTCGGCATAATTACTCCACCTGCCCGAGCGACAGTAGTTATATCAGCAGGAGAACTTCTCCCACCGACATAGCACTGTCCACACCGGTGCTTAGGTTGGTGTAACTTACATCACTCAGGGGGGTGACTTTTCCACACCCCTGAGTGACTTAAGTTATACCAAAGTAAGTGCTAGTGTGTACAAGCCCCTTGGTAAATGTTAACCCTAAAGGAAGACATTACAAACATGATCCCCATGTTCACTACCACTTTAAGTCTCAGTCATTGACAAAAACACAATAAATATAGAGCTTGATATTTAGGTACTGAACACTTCCGGTGAGGTGCTAAGTGCCTTTAACTACCATTGAAGTCAATCGGAATTGAGAGTTTTCAGCACTTTACAGGATCAGATCCCTAGCTTAGGTCTTTGTCACAGTTGGAAAATAGTCTTAGAATTAATTAAAAAACAAAAATACCCAAACAAAAATGGAACAATGTCTGGTATTGTTATTTCCAAATCACCAGGGCCTCTCCTACTATATATTTAATCCTCTTATATCTGATTGGCTTTGGATATGTCTATACTACCCGCCGGATTGGCAGGCAGCAATCGATCCAGCGGGGGTTGATTTATCGCGTCTAGTCTAGACGCGATAAATTGACCTCCGAGCTCTCTCCCGTCGACTCCTGTACTCCACCGCGAGAGGCACAGGCGTAGTCGACGGGGGAGCGGCAGCAGTCGACTCACCGCAGTGAAGACACCGCGGTGAGTAGGTCTAAGTACGTCGACTTCAGCTACGTTATTCACATAGCTGAAGTTGCGTAACTTAGATTGATCCCCCCTTCTTTCCCCCTCCCCCCGATGTAGACCAGGCCTTTGTCTTTAGTACCCCATTAAGCACTTCAGTGGGAATTGAGGAAAATCAGCATTTTGCACAAACAGGCACATACTTTGCATTGTTTTCCAGATCATATATCTCAAAGCAGAATTATATTAGTAATAAAATAGGTTAGGCATTTTAGGCACCTGAAATAGGTTAGACATTTTAGATAGTTAGCAGACTAAAAAATGCCATCACCTGTATTTTATAAGAACCTGCAAAAACTCCCATCCTGAGATCCTACATTTCAGAGCAATAACTCCAGGGGTATAAACAACATTGTAACATGAAATAAGCTATATATATAAGTAATAACTCAAAATCTCTCTTTAGTGTACACCCAAAGGACCAGCACAAATTTGTTGCCTTGTACAGCTTGTCTTTAAAGTTTGAACAAAATTGTACCAGAAACTTTGGTGATACCTTAATATAGGGATTTAAGGCAGTGAGCTCCCAGTGGAGGTGATCATTAGTACAGATTTTACAGCATATAAATATTTAATTTCAAAAAATAAAAATTAAGAAAAATATAAATGGATTTGATTGTGAAAAAGTCTAATCAGAATTGTAGTCACTAGAGGTCAGTATAGCCATAGGAATGGAATTAAATCACTAAAAATGTGATTTTACTAACTTTCTTAAACATATAGCGTCTGATGCTAATTTGTAGTAAAATCCCTTTTGTGCTGCTTTGGCAGGAGTTTAAAGTGAGTGGAAAAGACCCATTGCAAATCCACTTGTAGAGAGGGCCTCACTCCTTGGTGCAGAGCTGTCGTAAAGCCTCTGCATCAGCCCTGGACCCATTGCCTACTGGAGAGGGCTATGGGAAGCAAAGTGCAAATTGGAGCAGGTCCAAGGCTGCTTTAATGTATACAGGGGGACAGACCAGCCCCTGCATGGTCCCAGAATATGGGGAGCACAAGAGTGCCATAAAGCCAATGTTGTCCTCTCTCCATCACTGGCCCACACACAGGAATGAGGAAACTGAGACTCAGACCCATATGAGTTTGGCATTATGATTTCTTGCAGATGAAAATATACATGGAAACTTAATGCTGTGAAGCACAAACTTTGAAACACTATGGTCTAACCATACTGCATTTTAGAGCAGAGATAGAGGGCACTTAAATATAGATGAGGTATGTTTATAAAATTTGCAGATAAAAAAGAAAAGACATCTGGAACAATGGACACTCTGGGGCCTAATTCTAGCCTTGATGCTCTTGCCTAACTTGTATTAACAGAGGTGAGAATCACAATGGAGAACTGCCACTAAGGATAGCTTCCAATTGTGCACCATCTGTTCATCTAGTGCACCATCTAGTCCATCTGGTTCATTACAGTGGTAGTGTGTGTTCTAGAGGTTACCATATCTGAACGTGTTGCTTCCAAATGAAGTAAAATTTGAGGTCAAAATCTGCTTGTGCTTATTAAAGCTTTTTGGAAAGCAGGATATTTTATTCCAGGTTACTGGAAGTTTCCTGAGACTTGATAATGAGGTACATAACCATGAACTTTATTAATCATTTTTGTACTGAATGCACACAATGCTAAGTACATACACAGGTCTGTTCCAGCATACACTGGGCAATATACAGATGGATTCTCTAGGATCAGTCTAGACATCTGGAGGGAACCCACTTAGAACCAGGGCCGGCTCCAGGCACCAGCTTAACAAGCAGGTGCTTGGGGCGGCCAAGGGAGAGGGGCGGCACCTGCGGCAATTCAGGGGCGGCAGGTCCCTCACTCCCTCTAGGAGCGAAGGACCTGCCGCTGAACTGCCGCCGCCGATCGCAGCTTTTTTTTCCCAATGGCCGGGGCCGGCCGCGGGCGCGGTTTTTTTTTTTTTTTTGCTTGGGGCGCCAGAAATGCTGGAGCCGGCCCTGCTTAGAACAATACATCCTTTCTTTTGCTAACTGTAAAAACAGGCTTCTGTTCATGTGTTATAGTTTCCAAAACCAATCAGTAGCCTGTGGTCTGTTTATTGAAGCTCAGGCAACTCACTGGGTCTGGCACAGAGCAGCTCAGCTCAGGTGGAAGTGCTGTCAGGAAAGGTCTGATAGGGGGGTTGTAATGATATCACCACTTTTCAGAACTGGGTCAAGATGCAGGGGCCAGTTGTACAAGGTATTTAGGCACCTACAGGTGTAGATAGGCACCTAGTGGGACTTTTCAAAAGCTCCTAAACAGGTTAGATGCCTATCTCTCATTGAAAGTCTTGGCTGTGATCATGGCTTAAGTGTACTTGTACTCTGAAAAGGGACTTTGTAAATGGGGGACGTTTTCTCACTCAACAGATCTGCTTCCTAAAATTTACACTTGGTAGCAAAAGCAACACAGACAAGAGGTAGTGAGCCTGATTCTATTGGTGGGTGCAGATTAGTAACTAAGGATTGTTAACTAAATTCCAAATGGAACGCCAAACTCTGCTTGTTACACCTCTGCCACCCCACTGACGGCAAACAGGGTGTAGAGCTGTAACTAAGGGCAGAATCTGAAAACAGTAGTGTTTCCTAGGAGTAAGGGCTTTATCCTTTAAGATGCTGTGCGCTCCCAGTGACTTCAATAGAACTATGTGCTTTGCTGGATTAGGTCAGAGTGTTTAGCAACTGGCCAGATTGCTCCCTGAGTGCAGCATTTGGCCTGCATTATTCTTGATGTTTGAGAAGGAAAAAACCCTGCTTTACCTTCAGATCTC